TATCTGTTCCTCCACTTTCTCTGTCTCACTTCTGTCTTCTCTCTTTCTACATTATCTCTGTCCCTATACCTCCTGTTTTTTCATTACTCCCTCTGTCCCTCTTCCTCTGGATCTCTCTCCCTCCCTTTGCCCCTGCCCCCCTCTTTCTCTCTCCCTATCTCTCTCTCCCTCTCTCTCTCTTCCTCTCTCTCTCTCTCTCTCCCTCCATCTCTCCCTCCGTCTCTCCCTCCATCTCTCTCTCCGTCTCCATCTCTCTCTCTCCATCTCCCTTTCTCTCCATCTCTCTCTCGGTTTCTCTCCTCTCTCTCTAATTCAATAGACTTTCTGTAATATAATGAAAGGAGACAATGGAACAAGAACTCACAAGCAACTGATCCACACTGTACAGCAGCAAGTTACAATGTAACAGGTGGAATAAATGAGGTTGCAACTGGCAACACAACCACATAAACTGAACATGCCTAAAGTGTTCTGTACAGATGGTATAAAGAAGATGCTTGGTCCATAACTGGATAACTGAACTGGGATGCATTTAATCTGATACAATACTGCAGACCACCTCCTATAAGTCACCACAGCTCACTCGCTGGGCTCAACAATGGCTAAACCAAAACTGCCACACGATGTACAGTGAAACCCCCTACTGCAAATGCATGATCCCCACAGCCAACCTTGGAGTTACTCATGGGGGAATGTCATTGGTGTTGTGGCTCGCCCTAAGACACGTTTGAAGTGTCACCAGCACACCTAAAATCCTTTCAGGATCACCATGTGTTCATTTAATAAGAACAATGCCAAATGAATACAAGCACTTTCGAGGCCACGCAGGGTCCCCTCATTAGGCTTAACATTGACGATCCCCTAAGACAGTCTGCAGCTCAAGCAAGAGCCCATTCACCAATCTCCAGTGGCTTCTGACATACCCCATTGGTAGAATGGATGCTAGCCTTTTTTAAATGATTCACAGTGTTGACCCTCTCTGGATGGACTCATGCCTGAATGGGTTCAGAAAGATAAACATTAAAATCTCAGTATTAGATCAAACTCCAGCAGCTGATTGCAACCCTGAGCCAGTCCACATTGTTGACAGCAATTAATTTAAGGGCCTGGTGGAGGGGACTTTTAGAACCTCCAAAAAAGCCATTGGTCTTTTTGATATATTATGTTCAAATAGACTCTTTGCAGTTTCTCGACATTCATTCTGATGCCCTGTACCCTCTGGATTTCTCCTGAGGTGCCCCTAGAAGCCTCTTCGTGTCCGTCAGCTGCCAGAGCCCTTTGCACACTTCAATACAGTTCAGATCTAGCCTGCGAGATCAATCTACACTGGGGTCCAGTGCCTCCAACCTTCATCTCTGACATCATAGTACAAAGGACACTCTATATAGAGCAAGGATTTTACAACTGAACAAAATACATTGTATAAGGTGCAGGGAAAAAATTACTTTGTAGCATAGGACACACTCTGCTCATATGGTGCAGGAGCCTTGCCTTGGATTGCATGAGAAGCCCCATCTCTATCCTTGAAATCTGTATTTAGACATCACATTGCCCTAGGGACAGTTATACGATGATGCCTTTTTTTCTCCAGGCTCCACCCCTTTGTTATGTGGTCCTTTATGTAATAACTTATACTAGCATGCTGTAATAGAGAAAACATGCAATCTGCTATAACTGTAGATGTACTGTAATGTTTCAACTGTACACACCACCAAACAACGTAAGATGCTTTCATGTTTTGCGTACTGTAGAGAGCCTTCTGACTCCTTTCAGCATTTATTGCACCCCATTACCCTTATAGGTTTCTTACTTATTTTTGCCACAACTAGCCCTAGGTGGCAAGTAGAGGGAAAGAAGATTTGTAAAAACTCACAATATGTAAACTTATATGCTTGGTGCTGCCCTCTCTGAACCTGCCACCCTAGGCACTGGCCCACAAGTTTGAAAGCCTTGCCTGCCCTGCAAGAGGCATTCTTTATAGAGCAAGACTCTTTGTCTCTTCACAGTGGTAGACATATGCCCTCTATTGTAAGAGTATGGCTACTAAGTCAGTAGCAGCTCGCAGACAAAGACAGCCAGTGTGTTTTGGGGGTCCAAACAAACCCCCTTTATCAGGGCTTTGACAACATATTGTTGTGGACTCAAAACTAAGAGCCTGGAAAAGCCAGTCAGAGCCTGAGGAATACAAAATATATTCAATGAATGTCTAAGCAGCAATGCAGCATAGTCAGTAGCAGTTGACAGCAGGAGCAAGGACCAGCTTCCAGCAGATTTCCAGGGTCTAACCAAGGTGGGTAACATGTGGGCAGTAAAGTACAAAGTCAACAGATGAGAGCAGGTCTGCACCAGATAATAATACGTTCAGGAGTAAGGCAGGGTAATCCACGGTAAAACGCACACCTGCCTACATAGAGGCACACGTGCAGCCATGACCCTAGGGCCAATGCATGCACAGCTGAACCTACAGGTAGTCAGCAGTAAAATGCATGCACCCCGATCTAGAGACACATGTGCAACCATGACCTTAGGGGGGAAAGAATTGGACCAATGCATTCACAGGCAACTCTGCAAACCGGTCATCGGGTCATCTTTTACACCTAAAAAGTCCCTCAGATCCAGCACCAATCCCAACCAAACCCTTTATCAGGGCTTAAGAAGATCTTCCTTTTTGGTGTTCCTTTTCTTCTGCACTTCAAGTCTTCACCCAAGGTTTCCCAATATGTAAAAGGTAACCTTGGGGTAGAAACAGCCTAACTGCTATAGCAACACAGCTGAACCTACAAATAATTTGCGGTAGAACCCATGCACCTTACATAGGGACACATGTGGAGCCATGACCCTAGGTGGAGCAAACTGGACCATTGCATGCACAGGTGTCAGTGCCAACCGGTCATCTGGCCTGTTCTTACACCTAAGAAGTCCATCAGATCCAGCGCTAATCCCAACCAAACCCTTCATCAGGGCTTAGGAAAATCTTACTTTTTGGTGTTCCTTTCCTTCTGAACTTCAAGCTTTCACCCAAGGTTCCCCAATGAGTAAAAGGTAACCTTGGTGTAGTAACAGCCTAACTGCTATAGTAACACAGCTGAACCGATAATCCGAGGTAATACCCATGCTGCTGCACCCCTACACAGGGACACACGTGCAGCCATGACCCTAGGTGGAGAGAACTGGACCATTGCATGCACAGGTGCTGGTGCCAACTGGTCATCTGGTCTTTTCTTACACCTAAGGAGTCCCTCAGATCAAGTGCCAAACCTTTCATCAGGGTTTAAGAAGACCTACCTTTTGGTATTCCCTTTCTTCTGAACTTCAAGCCTTTGCCCAAGGTTCCCCAATGGGTTAAAGGTAACCCTGGTGTAGAAACAGCCTAATTGCTATAGTGACAAAGCTGAACCTACAGATATTCCAAGGTAAAACA